AATGGGGAGAACAGCTTCAAACCCTGTTCTACAGCCAACATGAGAGCTGTTGGTTGACGTACATTGACTCCTTATCCCATTCCATGTGGGCCCCTGCAGCAGCACCTGCCTTCAGGCTGAGCCCAGCATCACCTCATGCTGTCTTCCTCCCTGCTGCCATTGAGATGCCATTGAACACAACAGCCCCATAAAGCTGAGCTCTTTATTAGTGCTTGTGTTAGTGCAGAGAGCTGGCAGGCGTGTCCTTGGCCGCTCCCAGGATGTGGTTTAATGTTCCCTTTATTCCAGTATGAATTTGGCTTTGCAGCTGATGGATAAGACAGCCAGAGTCGACACGACGTGCACTGCCTCTCATCAACTGACATGCTCGATCCTCAACAGAGCAACACTTTGTACCCAGTGGTGGTTGTTCCCTGCGGGTCGTGGAGGTCACACGGTGTGATGAGTGATTGAAATACGGCCTTTGCTTTAAACCACAGCTCCGAGGCTGACTGCCAAAGACATCAAACCCAGAAACAACCAGCAGTGGAGGAGTGACTGGTGCAAAGACCTCTCATATCATAGAACCCCAGACTGGTTTGGGTTGGAGAGACCTTAAAGCTCCTCCAGCTCCAACCCCTGCCACGGGCAGGGACGCCTTCCACTGGAGCAGCTTGCTCCAAGCCCCTGTGTCCAACCTGGCCTTGAGCACTGCCAGGGATGGGGCAGCCACAGCTTCTCTGGGCACCCTGTGCCAGCGCCTCAGCACCCTCACAGGGAAGAGCTTCTGCCTAAGAGCTCAGCTCAGTCTCCCCTGTCCAAGCTCTTGTCGTGAATTCCTTGGGAAGACGAAGGTTTGTGGATGTCTAACAGTGGGAGAACTGAGTACAAATCCAGATTGCTGAGGGCTTGGCTGAACTCAGACACCAACAGACAGAAAAGGAAAGTTTTGAGGTCTTCACTTCTAAGACCTTTACTACCACTGGCAAGGTCTTCCCCACAAGCCATCCCAGAGAGTGCTGAAGAGATGGGGATCTGCTCTGGGAACACATCTCTTGGATATCTTGATTTAAAGATGTAGGAGCTGAGAGATCCTTCATGGTCCCAGAGAGGCTCTTCCATTTGGATGCATTTAGCTCCTCCCTATCCTTCCCATTTGTCTGCCAGATTGAAGAACCCTTTATTAGAAATCTCTCCCCTGAGAAATTTATGGGCTGATGGAGTCACCTCTTCACCTTCCCTTTGTTAAACTGAATGAATTGAACTTTCATCTTGCTGCAGGCAGCTCGCCAAGCCCCACGGCCGCCCTTGCAGCTCTCGGATGAAGCCTTTGTGATGCACCAGCATCCTTCCGCGGAGCTGCTTCCAGAACTGGTCCTCACATTGCATGGGAGGGAGGGTGGCAGTGGGGTAACTGTGGCCCACAGGGATATGTCCTGCCTTAGGGCAATGTGAGGCTTTTAAATATGGGGAGTATTGCACTGACCATGTGTTCCGATTCCTCCAGCTCCCTTTCTCCCACCACCCACCCCCTCTGTTCCCCATATACAGGCTCTTCAGGCAGGGGAAGGCAGGCAGCCAAAGGGATGAGGGTTCTTAAATCAGGTCCTGTGCTGAGAGACTGAGCTGAGGTGTTTCCAATCAGTGCTGATTCCATCAGGGGCCTTCAAGCTGTGGGCTTACACGAACTGGGCAGTGTGGCCCATCAGCATCGCTGCTGGAGAAACCCCAGCTCAGGGGCAGATCCATCCCATGTCAGGAGTTGAGAATAACAGAATCATAGAATCCCAGACTGGTTTGGGTTGGGAGTTAGAGCTCATTCAGCTCCAACCCCTGCCACGGGCAGGGACCCCTTCCACTGGAGCAGCTTGCTCCAAGCCCCTGTGTCCAACCTGGCCTTGAACACTGCCAGGGATGGGGCAGCCACAGCTTCTCTGGGCACCCTGTGCCAGCGCCTCAGCACCCTCACAGGGAAGAGCTTCTGCCTTGTATCTGTCCTGAACTCCCCTGTTTCAGTTTGAACCCATCACCCCTTGTCCTATCCCTCTGGCCCCTGATGAAGAGTCCCTCTCCAGCATCCTTGTAGCCCCCTTCAGGCACTGGAAGCTGCTCTGAGGTCTCCATGCAGCTTCTCATCATCAGGCTGAATGGGGGAGCCCTTCTGGGCAAGCATAAACCCACCAGTGTTGAAGCTGCCAAACCCACTGCGAGTGCCCCAGCATGACCCACCTTACACAGGGGGATGGAAGACATCATGGCTGAAGCTCATCTTATTCCACCTTCTGCTGGCCTCCTGCTCAAGCAGCAGTGCAAGCAGAGCACTACATCAGCACCGAGCCAGAGCCGTGTGTTTGCAGTCACAGCAGCCTCCTGAAAGCAGGGCAGCCCCCAGCTCTGGATGTGGGGTGCATCTCCATCATGGGGTATGGTTGTGGTATGCTGGATTCACAGCGCAAAAGGACACAAGGCAGCCAAGAGCTCTGCAAGCCTCAGAGAGGCTGGGTTGTGGGTTGGTCGCTCTCAGTGTGGGGCAGTGTCTGTCCCTCATCCTACCCCTTACACTGCTGCTGTTCCAGTGTGCTGATGTGACACAGTTTGGTGGTGGTCCCAAAGGTGCCTACGGGGCTGTTCAGGGTTGATACACGGGCTCAGTTTTCAAATACTTCCTTTAATAAAGGTCTGTCCCATGAGATTAGCCAAGTAGGACAGGATCTGAGCTTTCTGAATCTGCCCAGTTGAGTAGTACCTCCTCCACTGTTAGCTGTCAAATGGTACCAGATTATCTGCTAGGGTTGGGCACTGTCAGCAGCCTCTCACTGCTCATTCCCCATCCTCTCCTGATGGCCACACTTTGTCACTGAGTTGTTTTTGTGTTTGGGAGCTGGATCTTGTAAAGTCCCAAGTTCACCCTTAGACTCCAACCCAAAGGTGGAGACACTCCTGCTCCTTCAAGCACAAATACAGTACAAAAGTCCACCATGGATAAAGAAGGCCAGCTCCTTTCCAGCACTAATGAGTGTAAGGGATAGAAGGACCAGTCTGCATGAGGAGCTGGCTGGTTCAATCAGTGTCATGGGCATGGCCAAGAGCCTGCAGATGTTGCAGTGCATCACCTTGAGCCAGGCCTGGCACCAATTCCCTCCACTGGTCCAAAAGGGACTACAGGGACCAGGGGTTTGGCAAGGGGAGACAGAGCTTGGCAGCTCCATAGCTCTGCAGCCAGGCTGCCGATGAGCTCCTGGGCATCCCATGGCTAATGAACATATGGCCAGCATCCAGGTCTCAGGAGATAATCCAACCTGACAACACAAAATGAGCTCTTCAGCAAGGCATTTGGAGTATGTGCTCTTCAAGAGCAATCAGCGATGTCATCCTCATGCCAAGCCCTGCCCTCCCTGCTCTAAGTGGCTTTCCTCTATAGATGGTATTAGCAAAGCTCTTCACAGTACCCCTGGGCACCCCCGTGGAGTCCAACCTCATCCACTTTCCTAATGACTCCACCAAAATCTTTTAATGGAGGTTTAATAAACTACCAACTGGAGAAATTTATATGCCTGGATTTGAATCTTGGAGTCACTGTCACTCTTAACCCTTCAAAGGGCACACATCTGAGCACACATCCTCTAAGCACTTCTCTCCCAGCCTAGAGAGGATTAGGTTGGAACCCGTCTGCTGCTCCTGGATGTCTTCAAGGACTCTGCCTCCCTGCTTGGTGAAGGTTTCTGGGGTGTGCTCAATCCCAACCCTTACTGTTCCTTACAGGGACCAGCTCTGCAGCAGCCAGAGAAGACCCCAACCCAGCTGCTGGAGGAAAAGCCAAGAGTCATGTCCTGTGGGCTTGGGAAAACCGTGAGCACTGCTTGGGAGCCTGAGCTTGGGATGGACAGGGAAGGACACATGGAAAGAGCCCATTGCTGGGGCTGCCCTACCAATATGCTGCTTCACACAAGTCATTTTGGGCAGCCGCAGCGGCAGACGTGGGAGCATCACTCCAAGGCCCTGTTGTTGGGATCAGGTTTGGTGGCATGTGATGGGGGGGGGCATGATTTGGGTTTAATGCCCTCCCAAAGCCTTGGGGACTCCATCAGCTCTCCCAGAACAGCTTTGCAGAGTCCAGCTGTGTTCCTCCCTGCTGTGGACACCGCACTGGTGGAGGTCATTGGCTGTTCAGCAACCCCCAGCCATGAGCTACCAGAGATACGAACATCCCTTCTCATCACATCCTCCTCCCATTCCTACAGGACCAGCAGGGTTTGGAGCTGCAGGAAACCTGCCTTCTCTCCTTACCGGGGTAAAGCAGCATCACCCAGTTCTATTTAAACTCCTGGTTACTAACAAATGAGGCTCCAAGAGATGACCTCAATGCACAACATCAGAGCTGGACCCTCATCACAGAGCAGACAGGGATGCAGGTGAGCACCAGAGGCTGCGCATCATGCCCACCCCACTGGGATGTGTGTGAAGATGTGGTGGAAGGGATAAAGGGGGGTGAAGGGTGTCTTATCCTGGTGTCTGCCCCTTACCCTCTGCTGAGGCTGTGCTGGGGACTCCAGCTTGGGGTGGGTTTTGAGGGGGGCAAGGCAAGGGGTCGTGGGGGGGCAAGGCAGGAATGACACAGCCCGGCCATTTCCACAAGACCAGCTTTAATATCAGTCATGAGAACGAGGAGAAAGCACAAAATCCAACATAAAAAATGAAAAGAAAAATCTTAAAAAAAATTAGAAATATTAAAAAGAAACAAAGAAAGAAAGAGAAAAAGAAAGAAAGACCCCGTCCCTCCCTCCCCCCCGTGCCCACCCGCTGCGCACAGACTAATCCAGGCACTGCAGATGGAGGAGCACGACCCAGCAGCCGGGGGGGGATGATCCACCAAGGGCCACCCGGTCCGTCCCCTCTCCAGGGATGCTCACCTTGGGGTGACTGGTAACGTTGAGGTGGCCCGGCCTCGGGGGGACCCGGCTTAGCTTAAGATTCATCACAGACTGACACGAAGGACAAGAACGTAAGAAGAATCCGAGAGCTGCGACTTTTTGTTTCTTTATTCTAATTCAGCCTACGACGTTAGTAATGGTGATTTCAGGGGATGGCTGGGCCCGCGAGTTCCTTCTTGTAGTGAAAATCAGAGACTGTAAAGAGGAACAGAGCTTATAAAGACAGATAGGAATATAGTGCCGTAAAAAGAACTGGCATGCAAGTGCTTTATACACGTGGCAGTTTGTGACATGGCAGGGCTGGGGTTGGTGGTGCTCTCTTTGTTTTGTACAGTTCGAAAACGAGCTGCTGCCTTCACATCTTGAAGACAACCCCCCCACAGGAAAGGACAACACAAGTCAAGTCCAAGGCGCCTCTCGCTTGGTTTTGGCAGAGTGTATATATATAATATATATATTTATTGGTTTAATGCATAGCGATTTTCTTCCTTTTTTTTAACTTTTTACTCTATTTTTGTCATTATCTGTTTAGTTTTTTTTCCCCCGTGGCAAACCTGAGCTCGGTCCCTGCTTCCCTGTGCAGTTTTCCCTTCCTTAGGTGTTGGCACTGTGGAGCGGTCGGGTGGTGTCAGCAGGCAATCTCCTCCAGCGTTCCCAGGGTGGCCTGCAGCGGCACGGTCACAGTGTGGCTGATGGATTCCGAATGGTTTGGCATGGGGTCACAAGTGCTCTGCGGATGGAGAGCGGGGGACAGGGTTATCCCAGAGCCTCCGCATGCTCCCTGTCCCTCCCCAGCTGCTCTCTCCTTTCTGTAGCCGAACCATGGCATCAATCCTTTGAGAATAACTCAATCAGTGGCCGAACACTGCATCTGTATCGAGTGGCTTCTGCCCCTTGTCTCCCAATGGGGCTCCTTACCACGTTTTCATCATGGCTCCCTTCCTCTTCCTCTTTTCCAAGTAGGTCTAATAATTTCTCCTTGATCAGCTGCAAAAGAGGGAGCTTGGGTTAAGGCGGGGAGGAACAGGAGACACATCCAAAGACTGCCTGCATGGGCATCCACCAGCCTCACCCAAAGGGCCCAGGGGATGTACTGGGATTCACAGGACCATTAGGGTTGAAGGGACCTCTGGAGATCATCCAGTCCAACCCCTGCCAAGGCAGGGCCACCCAGAGCAGGTCACACAGGAACGTGTCCATGGTGGGTCTCAATGTCTCCAGAGAGGGAGACCCCACAGCCCCCCATGGCAGCCTGTGGCAGGGCTCTGCCACCCTCAACAGAAAGATCTTCCTCATGTTGAGGTGGAACTTGTTGTAGTTTAGTTTATGGCCACTGCTCCTTGTCCTGTTGCTGGGCACCACTGGGAAGAGTCTGGCATCATCCACCTGGTACCTCCTTTGAGACATTGATTTGCACTGATGGGATCCCCTCTGTCTGCTCTTCTTTAGGCTAAACAGGCCCAGCTCCCACAGTTTCCCCTCGTAAGATGCTCCAGATCCCTGAGCATCCTTGTGGCCCTGCTGGACCCTCTCCAGCTGAACCATCTCTCTTGTCCTGGGGAGCTCAGGACTGGACACAGGACTCCAGATGTGGCCTCACTGGGGTTAAGTAGAGGGGAGGAATCATCTCCCTTGAGCTGCTGCCACACTGCCCAGGGTCCTCTTGTCCCTCCTATCAACTCCTCATCCCCCAACACTCCCTGGTCCTTCTCAGCTGAACTGCTCTCTAGTAGGTCACCCCCAACCTCTGCTTGTACTTGGCGTTCTTCCTCACCAGGGGCAGGACCCTACACTTGTCCTTGTTGAACCTCATCAGGTTTCTCCCTTCCCAACTCTCCAGCCTCTCAAGAACCCGCTCAATGGCAGCACAGCCTTGAAGTGCATCCTAGAATCACACAATGGTTTGGGTTGGAAAGGACCAAAGATCACCCAGTTCCAACTCCCTGCCATGGGCAGGGACGCCTCGCACTAAACCATGGCACCCAAGGCTCTGTCCAACCTGGCCTTGAACACTGCCAGGGGTAGAGCATTACCACTGCTTTGGGCACCCTGTGCCAGTGCCTCAGCACCCTCATAGTAAAGAACTTCCTCCTTATCTCCAACCTGAACTTTCCCTGTTTCAGTTTAAACCCATCACCCCTTGTCCTGTCACTGCAGTTCCTGATGAAGAGTCCCTCTTCCAGCATCCTCATAGACCTGTATCAACCACTGCCCCCAGCTTTGTATCACCACAGACTTGCTGTGGGACCACTCCAGCCCTTCACCCAGGTCGTTGATAAACAAGCTGAGTAACAGTGGACCCAGTATTGATCCCTGGGGAATGCCACTGTCTACAGGCCTCCAACTGCTCCGCTGATGACAACCCTCTGAACCCCCCCACGGGTATGGAGAAGGACCACCCCATGGGTCAAACTGGAATTCCTCACATGGAAAAAAAACCAAACCAAACCTCTAGTTTTTTAAATGTATTTAGGAGTCTATTGAGAAATGTCAGCGCTGGGAGTGCTGTTTCCCTTCACAGCCACGTTACTTCCCTGGCAACTGCCGCTGAAGAATGTATTTCCAAGGGAAATCCCAGAAAGGTTGAAAAGTGAATGTTTTCCTGAAAAAATGCCACTGGAGGAAAATAAAAAAGAAAGAAGAAAGCTAAAAACATGAAAAAAATGGGGTCAGTTGCCAGGGAGTGAGGTGGGTGCTGGGTGCACGAGATGCAGAGATGTGTGGTGGGGATCTGGGACCCCAGTAAGCCCTGGAGCATGACTCTGCCATGGGGCAGCACCAAGAGGAGGACTGAGGTGAGTGAACAATGCAAGCCAACATCTCAAAGGTCAATACTGCATCTGCTTTTGGCTAAGCCACATGAAAAGGATGTCCCTTTGCTGACCATCTCAGGGTTTACAAAGGCTCTGATTGAAAACTCAATGAGTTTTAGGTGCACGGAACCGTGCCCTCATGTAACCTGGAGCAGATTAGTTCAACCATGTTTCATGCATCATTTAAGACATTTTATCCCTGTCTGGTGTGGGTTAAATAGGGGTGACCATGAAGATGCCCCGTGTAGGACATACTGGGTGGACCTGCTGCTGCATCGTCAGGTGTGCACAGGGAGCCTCTCCAAGGGGACAGGCTCCTCTCCTAAGCCATTTTGCCCCAAAAGAAGAGAAGAAAAACACCAACAGGAAACTATTTGCCAAGTTTTATAAGCAGATCTCAAACAAAGGAGTAAAACAGGGAAGAAAAATCCAAGCTTTGTGAGGTGTCTTATTATCTTCTTATGAAAGAACCCTGAGAAAGGGAGGAATAGGTGACTTTAATGAAATACTGTGTGCATTCAGGCTGAGATCTAAACCCAGGCACAGGTTTTGTTTGTGCTCCAAAGCCATTATGAGCTTTATGCTTGTAATTTCCAATATATTTTATTGCAGAATAATGCCACCAAGTGCTAAGAGCTGCCCAGAGGGGGGCTGTGATGGGGACTTAAACTGTGATGGGCTTGAAACGAAAAGCCAGCATCCCAACTTTAATAACATGAAGTTTGGAGCAGAGACTGTGAGTGCCTGACGTCCCTGTGCACCCATCTGGCCTGGATGCAACAGCCACCAACGATCCCTGACTGCAACATCCTGTGGGATCCTGGTCCCTTCACAATATGGGGCTGAGAAAGGGCTATGCAGGTCTGAGATGCTGCGTATATGGGTGCAAGGGTGCAAAGCCACTGCACTGAACTCACAATGAGGGCAATGAGTAGAGAGGCTGAATTAGCAGAAGGCACCTTCCCAGGGACAAGGGAAAAGGCTTTGGACTGGAATGAGCCAAATTTGCTGAGAATGACCCATTTCCATAGGCGTTTGCATCCTCTTTGAAACTATCCCAAGCCATAAACTCATTCTTCCCTGCTATAAAACAGGACACACGTGCCTGTGTTTGGGTCGCTGGCGTCACCTTGATACAAACCAGGTGCTCCTCAGCAGCTCACACCCAGCTGCAGGCCTTCTCCCTGCCTCAGTTTCCCCTTTCATAAACAGAATCAGCAGCCTGACCCCCAACACAAAGCCATCTGCAATAAAGACTGGGAAGGGAAATCAGGGGGGAGGATGCTCCAGAAAGGGTTATTTTGGACTGGGACCCATTTAGGTGAAGAAATGAGTCCAAATGGCAGGAGGGTGCAGAAAGCAGCTGGAATCTGTGTCTGCGCTTGCAGGGGCAGTGGCAGAGGATGCTGGAGGGATGATGCCCACAGGGTGGCTGTGACAGCATGACACCACTGAGGTCTGGGTTGGCACTGTGGCATAGGAAAGCCAAAATCCTCTGGGAGATGCTAAGCTGTGCTGGGGGACCTGCTCAGGCAAAAAGACATTCCAAATATACAAGGGTCATGACTCTGCTGCTGGGGGGCAGGAGGAGGGATGCTGGCAGAAAGCAACATCCCCTCTGGAGTGCTTATTGCATTAATTCCCATTAATGGGAATTGGAGGGTTGCACTTCCCTCTGGAGCAGATGCTCTCGGCCACTATGGAGCCACATGGCCATGCCTGATCTCCTCTTGGTGCTTCCTAGAAAGCTCTTTGCTCCAGAACCACAGACATCAGATACCAGGGACTGGGATTCCTCACCCCCTGACAGTGGTACAAGGTCTGGACTTGCTGCTTCTCCTCCCTAATGGCTGGACTGGGACTTGAGCACTGATTAAAGGTGTGTTAAGGACAAGATGATAACATGCTGCTGGGAGAAGTCCCATTGGGAATGGGGTCAGGAGGGTGCAGCAGCAGGTCCCAGCCACCAGCCCAGGCAGTACAAGCTTCGGGGGGGAGGGAGCAGCACAGCCACATGAAGGTGGTGCTTCATTAGCCCAAGCAAGAAGCAAATCTCATTAGCAGAGGCAGGGTCCACATGAACCATGGCTGCATGGCAGCCCCTCCATGGAGAGCCCCTCCAGAGGCAGGGATCTCCCCATCACATTACATAGTCATGACTGATGATACAGCACTATTGTAGAGCATTAATTATATGGTATCATTAATTAAACTTGGGCATGGAGAGTCCTGGTCCACGACCACCCCAGCCTGGTGTCAAGGCTGGCAAACCCACACCCTGCCAGAGGAATAAGGAAGGTCTTACCTCATATATATAATCAAAGAGCTCTAGTATAGTGAGGATGCTAGCACCGATAAAGAGCCCCATCTGGCCTCCAATGTCACCTAGGAGAGAGAACAACATGGGGATGGGTTTTACTGCTGGGGTGGAAGCTCTTCAAGGCATCCATGCAACAACAGTGCAGTTGCCCTGGGAGCCGCTGGCCCCAGAGAGTGGGGAAATGACCCCAGAAACACTTCCAAGCATCCCGGGAAGGATGCTGCCTGCCACCGAAGTAGGTTTTCTGCTAATGAGGCCATCAGCTGGAAGCCTAATGGGGGTGTGATGCCGCACAGTGGCACCTGAGGAAGCCATCTGTGAGAGTGAGACAGCAGGCTCCATCCCAGGCATCCCAAAGCCCAATTCCCAAACTGGGTGGGGGAAGGAAAAAGATGCTGGAGCAGAATCAGGTAACGTCCCTGGGAGCTGAGAAAAAACCCAAACCTGACAAAGAGAGTTAAGGGAGATGCTGCTTTGTAGGGGAGCATCGCAAAGCTGCCTCTGCTGCAGTGCCCCAGGGCTGGGGAAGGGCTGTGAAGGAGGCACCATGGGGAGAGGAGACTTCCCAGGAATCTGCTGGGAAGGGAACTGCTGACGTGAGGTGCTGTGCTTAGGGAGGATAAATCTCATGGATTCTGCTGCAGAACACCCGTGGTTTGGCTGTGATACTCCCCAGAGAAAGGCACCCATGGGTGGAGGAGCTATGGGGCCTTTGCTGTGGGTATCCACAAGACAGAGAGAGAAGAAAGAGGACTCAAGCACTCAAGAAGGTGCCTGGGGGCAAAGCGCTGGTTCAAAAGGGGCTGAGGACTGGGGGGAGATGAGACTCTGCCCAAAGCCTGCAGTGCCCTGGGAACAAGGCTCATGCAAAGTCATGCAAATAGGGAGCTTTGTGTTAAAGAGGCTTCATTACCAGCCTCCTCTTCCCCACTGTAGCACTCCTGGGGAACTCATAGCATGTGCAGAAGGGCTGGAAAGGAGGATGGATTTGGAGCATCTAAGAGGTGATGGGTAAATGATAGAAGAACTGTCCTCCACACACTGCACTTCCAGCATGGGGGCACCACAGCAAGCATCCATCACCTGCTCAGCCACAAACGATAGGGCCCTGATAGCAAGTAGAGATGGAGCAGCTCATGTTAACCTGTCATGGTGACACACGGACTAGCTTAGTTCCTGGGACATTCCTGGGATGGCTTGGTGTTGGAAGGAAAAGAAGAGATGGGGTTGGAAACTGTCCAGGAAGGTATCTGGAGCTTGCTGTGGTTTTCAAGGCAATGCACTGTGCACACTCTGTACATCCCTTAACCACACACAGACTGCAACAAAGGCTCACGCAGACTCCACACTGCACCCCTGATCTCTTACCAAGTAAGGCTGCCACTTCATAGGCTTTCTTCTGCTCAATTGTCTCATAGTTGAGTGCTTCAAAAAATATGTCCAGCACAAGAATATTCTCTCTGTAGAAAGAGGAGAACAGCATCAACCCATCAGCCACCAGCAGCCTCGTGTGCTTTGGGGTAAGAAACAGCAACTGGGGGCTTTATTCCCCTCTCTGCCCTGACTGTTCTTTTCATGGGGTCCACAGACACTTGGTCCTCTTGGAGACCAAGACCATAGGGCACCATTAGGACTCCAGCAGCCTTAGCAGAAGATGGAAGATCTCTCAGGATCTGAGCTCTGGATCTCAATTTGGTAACAGCAAGAGTCTGAGGGATGCTTCATATGGAATAGCTCTTGCTGCCTCCACAATACTGTGGCCAGGGCTGGGAAAGGGCCAAAACAGCTCGTGACAACAAGGCCAGGGAAGGGGCATCCAGTTGTCTGCAAACACATCAGCTGAGAAGAAAGCAACTTACACATCATCTCTTCAAGGGTTTTGCCCTAGCACTCTCTGGAGGACATAGCACAGGGTGGTTTAAACAGCCAAAGGGCCTTTGCAGACACTGTCCCCCATCAAGCAAAGGAGATCTGTGTTCTCAAGCACTCACGAGATGTATTTTTCTGACTTGTTGAACTTCTTCTCCAGGTACTTGGCTGAGGTCTTGCTGGGGATCTTGACCATGGAGAGCTCTTTGTTGTATCTTGTCAGGTTACAGGGTGTCCTGCAGATGCAGTAATTGCTGTCCTTTTCAGCAAGCAAACCTGGAGGAGATCACAGAGTTACATCATGTGGAGTCAGGGACATACAGCAGCTGTGGGAGCAGAGGTTGTGCACCCAGAGAGGGCCAAGGGAAACCCATTTCTGGCCAGTTCTCTCCCAGTTCATTGCATGGCCATCCCCACTGTCTGAGAGATGCCTCTGCTGGAGGCTACACTCTGTTACCAGCATGTGCTCAGGGAACACGTGGTGATCGAGTCTCCTCAATCCAGACCTAGAATGGGTTCCTCCATCCCAAACCCAGACCCAGAGATGCTTCCCTCCAACTTATCCTGGGTGCCCATTATCCCATGGGTTTCTGCACTGATGGAGCCCATGCCCCATGTACAAACAGAAGAAACTATCCCAAGGTGCACCCAGCCCTTCCCAAAGAGATGGCTCTCATGCAAACCCATCAGCTGCTCTAGATCACCCCAGTCCTGCCACCCAGGAGGACACGGGCTGCTGGAAGTCCCCCAGGTTGGGACACCAGTGGTACCCAGGGATATCTCTTGGTACTCACCAAGCGCAGGCTCTGCGCATTCCTTGTACTGCTCCGGGGTACAGAAGGGAGCATCTCCTGCATGGGAAGGACACATCCATCAGTGGGCATCAGCCACCACTGCTGGGGACCACTGGGCTCTCCTTAGGGACCACAAGGAGCTCCCTTTAGCAAAGGGAACCCAGGCTGGGGATGGACGGCAGAGGTAACTTAAAGAGGGGAAGTTCAGGATGGAGATAAGGCAGAAGCTCTTCCCTGTGAGGGTGCTGAGGCGCTGGCACAGGGTGCCCAGAGAAGCTGTGGCTGCCCCATCCCTGGCAGTGCTCAAGGCCAGGTTGGACACAGGGGCTTGGAGCAAGCTGCTCCAGTGGAAGGGGTCCCTGCCCATGGCAGCGGTTGGAACTTGATGATCTTAAGGTCCTTTCCAACCCAAACCAGTCTGTGATTCTATCTGCCTGCTGCAGGGACCTTTTCTTGCAAACAGAGGAGGGGGGTCTGCTGGAAATCACACCCATGGGTGTTAAGTGGGGCTAAACGGAGCAAATCAAATGACTTTCTGCCACATCCCGCCCCTATTTCAAGGCATTCTACAATGGCTATTACATCTTTCTTTCCATAGAGAAGCATCCTTTAACCCATGGTCCCCTTCCAGCTTGTTAGCACTGAATGACATGGGCTGGGTGGAGGGAGAGGCCCCCGCTCCTCCGTCCCTTGCCCCACACACTGACCTGGCATGTGAACCATTCTGCAGTTGCAGTTTTCCACAATGTAGCGGGTCTCGCAGTCGATCCTGCAGGCCGTGATGCTGTAAACGGGAAAGAAGTCTAAGCCCATATCTGACGAGCGGCATTCACCCCACGGCGGAGGCAGGTACGTCAGCTGCAAGAGAGGGAGGAGTGGGGTGTCAGGGGACACTGGGGACCGGCACTGAGGATGGGGCACAGCATCTCCCTCCTCTTGCCACAGAGAGGCCACTGGAGCACAAACTGAATGATGCCCAGAAACCAACCATATTCTGGGCTGCATCCAAAGGAGCACAACCAGCAGGTTGAAAGAGGTGATCCTGCCCCTCTGCTCTCATGGGACCCCACTTACAGCACTGTGTGCAGTTCTGGTGTCCTCAGCATAAAAAGGACATGGAGCTGTTGGAACAAGTCCAGAGGAGGCCACAAGGATGCTCAGGGGCTGGAGCAGCTCCTGTATGGAGACAGGCTGGGAACACTGGGGCTGTTCAGCCTGGAGAAGAGAAGCTGCGTGGAGACCTCAGAGCAGCTTCCAGTGTCTGAAGGGGACTACAAGGATGCTGGAGAGGGACTCTTCATCGGGGACTGGAGTGATAGGACAAGGGGTGATGGGTTCAAACTGAAATAGGGGAGTTCAGGACAGATATAAGGAAGAAGCTCTTCCCTGTGAGGGTGCTGAGGCGCTGTCACAGGGTGCCCAGAGAAGCTGTGGCTGCCCCATCCCTGGCAGTGCTCAAGGCCAGGTTGGGCAGAGCCTTGGCCAACATGGTCTAGGGTGAGGCTTTCTCTTATGAACCATTCAGTCACTAAAAACCCATAATGGGCTTAAACTGCAGCCAGGAAGTGAAAGATGAGCTGTGGGAATGAACACGGCTTGTGGTGATAGCAGTTGGGTATGGGAACACTCTGCCTTGGAGGGGCATGAAACCTGGAAGCTAAAGGAGAGTTTGGGGAAGATCCCAGGCCTTAGAGCATGACCCTGCCCTGTGGGACTGGACAAGTAATCCCTTCTCTAAGAACTTTTCTGCATGGCAAAGACCTAGGATGCTCTGTACATGCAGGAGCCAGCATCACCTAAGGGTGCCCAGGCTGCTCCCTGAGGGCCATGAGCATTGGCACTCCCCAAATCTGCCTCAACCCACACTGCTGCTCAAGCTGCTTTGAAAACCAGCAGTGGCTGGAGCTATTCAGCTGCTCAGGGTGACAGGCACCAATCTCTGTGCTCAGCAGCTCCAATCTGAAGAGCAGACGCACCTACATGGGGTGTGAAGACGCAGCAGGTGATGGAGGGATCCCATCTGTGGGGACCAGACAAAGCATCAAGGGAAAAAAACCTGGTTGCCAGCAATCTCAGCATCCAGAAACAGGCTCCGAATGGGATGAGTTTGAGAGCCAGCAAAGCAGCACCTTGGAATGAAAATCTCAAGAGTGCCTTCCTGACAATAGCAAAGTGCTGTTTGAAGGGGATCTTTTCTCATTTGCTTTACACTTGCAATATAATAGAGTACCAGATGCCATCACTTAGTCATCCGCGGTGGAGAAAGGAGCCCATATGTTGCCTGTTGTATGATAAAGGAGAATAAATAATTGTGGTCTCAGATGGCATCAGCTTTCTTTCAAGCGCAGCTACACACAAATCTTTTAAGCCCATTAAATTCTGGCCTGAATGAAGGTGATGGGATCCGAAAACGATGGATTCACGATCAGATATTTTATCTTAGCCACTCCTTTGCTCAGCCAGCGCTGGGTTGGAGCCACGGCGCTTGTGAGCTGGCACCATGTCCACATGAGGTGCATGGGCTGAATGATTAATTAAAACTCTAATCAATGCAGCTTCATTAACAGAGTTACGGCCTGGTTTGTAGCCAGGACACAAGCACCGACTAGCCCATAGCACAAAGCAAAGCTGGTTTGCATCTCTCCAAAAGCATGGCGACCTCAGAGCAGCTTCCATTGTCTGAAGGGGGCTACAAGGATGCTGGAGAGGGACCCTTCATCAGGGTCTGCAGCAACAGGACAATGGGTGATGGGTTTAAACTGGAACAGGCTGCCTTGCCACACACATAACCACACACAAATGTACAAGTGTAGTTCACTTCTCTTTGGCTCCTTGACCATGCAGGAATAGGTGCAGCACATCTCCCCTGACCTCCCCTTGCTCTCCCTCTGCTTTCTGCATCACTGATACTAATGAGCAGAAAAAGCTTCTTGGCACATTTAACACTGGTGGAGTTCGGGTTTTGTTTTGCTCTGCAGTATAAAAGCTTTCCCTGCTTTGGAGAAAAGCTTGTCACATCTGGGATGGAATCTGGGATGGAAAAGTGACTCCAGGGAAGATCCAATTTCTCCTTTTAGAAGGAAATTTCCCCAGTGAAACTCCTGGCCATGCAGCAGATCCCCATCGGGTGTGACAGAGGTACCTCGCTGCTGCATTGCTCTACATCAATCCCTACCTCCTCCATCCCTGTATTGCAAGGCAGGATTTCTTGCCGCTGGCCATGCCTCCAAGCAGTAACCAAAGCATCTCCTGCAGCACTGGGAATCCATGTGCTTCCCCCTCCATCACTGGCTTGGTGAAGCAGCAAAGGTTCATTTGAAGTGTGACAGGCAAATCCATGCTTATTCCTTATGGGCAAGAGCTTAGAGACAATGCTCCCTGCGGTGGCAGGGTCGAACCCTCCCTCCCTTGAGCAAGTCAGTGAACTCGGCTCTCTCTGAGGGGCTCATCAAGGGTTATTACCCGGATCCTCCATGGTAATGACAGCTTGAAAGGCTCATCGCTTCCCTCCTGCTCTGTAATTTGCAATCAGAAGCAAACTCTCACAGAGAGAAGCACATCATTAGGGACAGGGCTCTGCAGTGAATAGGGGGGGCACATTCCCCAGACTCTGCCTCAGCATCCTAAGATAATTTGGTCCCAGGAAAGCTCCCTTTGCATTTCCCAGGTGGTTTTGGTGAGCAGGCCCCAACGTACCAAGTCTCTGATGCAGACAACACTTGTCCTGACCTTTTATTTCCAATTAACTCTGAAGGCAGCTGTTCAGTAACTGTGATTGGAGCCACAGCAGCATCGCTCACAGGTACAAGGTGAGTGCAAGGGCTGCTGTGCTGCGCCCTCCGAAATGCTCAGCATCGTCCTTCAAAGAAGCCATTATTGAGACACAGAGCTGGGTATGGTTTTACCCATCAAATACTGCACCTTCCACTGAAAGACTCAAACCAAGGGGTCAGATGCTTCTGCAGAGCTTCCTGTCCTGAAGAGCAATGGAGCAGGATCACAGGTTTCTCCCCTGCAGACCAGCCCCATCCTTACTGCCGTTTCCTTTCCTGCTTTGGCACAGGAGTCCTAGTGCCCTGCAAGCCCTGGGGTCAATGCTCCATCCACAGCAGCATCCCTCCTTAACCCCCTCCTCAGCAAAACAGGGCTGCAATCTAAAGCAAAGCACCGACATCCAAAGCACGTGGCCCCAGAGAGCTACCTGAGAGACTCATTTTACCAATTTGACATCTGAATTTCCTGCCCGTGATGCTAACGGGGCCGACAGAAGAGCACACTGGGGAGCCAACCCAGGAACAGGAACACACATGATCACAGAATCATGGAATGGTTTGGGTTGGAAACAACCTTGTGATCATCTAATTCCAACCCCCTGCCATGGGCAGGGACCCCTTCCACTGGAGCAGCTTGCTCCAAGCCCCTGTGTCCAACCTGGCCTTGAACACTGCCAGGGATGGGGCAGCCACAGCTTCTCTGGGCACCCTGTGCCAGCACCTCAGCACCCTCATAGGGAACAACTTCTTCCTTATATCTAACCTGAAATCCCCCTGTTTAAGTTTAAACCATTACTCCATGGCCACATAAACAACACGAATGGGACAGACACTACTTGGATTTGATTCCTCTCCCTTGCAGCCACACAGACATCTCCTCCGCTTGAGAGAAATGTCTTCCCTTCTTCTAGATGATCCTGATTTGGGGTTGGCAGGAGGGTTCAGGCGCTGGACCAGTGGAGCCTGTCCAAGGATGCTGAGCTGCTCCCCTCTCATCTGCTCTGCTATCACCAAAGCTGCTTTTCTTTGAAGCCAGGAAGGGAAAAGAAGCATGAAAGCAATAAGAAAAGCAGGGGTAAAGGCAGTTCCTGCCCTGGGTTCCTGCAGGAAAACAGTGCTGAGCACTAGCTTTGCTCTGCTGCTGTGGCAGCTTCCCAAGGGCACACATCCCTCCCCAGCACTGCGCCGTCTCATGCTGATAGAGATTCAGCTTCAGCCTCTAATTGGGGTTGACAAACTCACGTCCTCTCACTCTCACAATCATTAATACTTCATTAATTAATGAAATGCTTTTTGAGTTCTCTTCATCCCAGCTATTAGGAATTACCACGATCTGTTACAAACTGGAGGGCGCCGAAAAGAGAAGGAACAAATTGACTCGTCTCCTTAAGCTCAGGATGGATCTTGCTTGCCTGAAACACAAGGAAAGGAAGGGCTGCTTTCGGCAAACCGGGGGGAAGTGGGTCAGGGTGGTGGGGGCCGTTCAGCACAGCCCTGTCCTTGTCACAGCCCTTTTCCCTGGCCACGCTGCTGCCCTTCACACGCTGCTCCTGGCACTCAGCCTCCCAATAACCGCCAACATCTGTCTGCAGCCAGAGAGGTCTTTTTTTTCCCCATTTATTTTAAGTGGAATCTCTCTTTTTTTCTGCCTGTGTAATTTGATGTAATAGGGATGATGTGGAAACATGGCAGAGACGCTTCCAGCATGAGGCTGGGGCAGTTTCAGCTCATTTTTCAGCTGGGCTCTGCGATGAATCCGGCTTTGGGGATGTATCCTGCATCCTGCTACAGCTCAGCCCTTCTCCCACCTCCTTCACATGTGGGTCCCACCCGATGCCACCAAACTGAGGCAGCAACCACGGAGGAGGAATGCAAACCTCTCCTGAATGTGGCAAAACCTGTATGGGGTGTGTTTGCATTTGCTTCAATAAGCAGAAACCTCCATTCTTTAATGAGACATCAAATAACATCAAGTTAATAGAATTTCAATCCCAGACAGCTTTAGCACTTGTAAAATGCTTAAGAAACTCAGCTCAGACACAGCTGGTTGGCACCATCTCCCAGTTAATGATGCTGGAAGTTGTC